TTGATATCATTAGAATCATTAGGGCTTACTATTTTGGTTTCAGGATCTATTTCTGGAACTAGACGGAGCCAAGCTGAGTAAATGAGTGACTCTTCGACTGTTATGTTTGGTGAGTGTATATCAGTTTGCTCGCAGTAGCCTGAGACTCTTGCGAACGTTTCTTGGGCCTTACGGTATCCACTGATTCTGATGTCTCCTTCAATGTAACCGCTTGTTTTTCTCCCGGCGAGAACGTCTAGTAGAGTGGTTTTTCCGGCTCCACTGATTCCCATCAAAGCCGTTAGAACGCCGGGCCTGAAAGCTCCGGTGATGTCTGAGAGAAGCTGCAGTTTCTTCTCGGTGTAGCCTTGACCTCTCATCACAGGAACGTCGACGTAGTAGTTCAAGTCTTGAAACGTTATTGTGAGTGGCTTAAAAGGTAACACCATCTTCCCTGTTGAATGAATTAGGGTTTTAAAAAACAGTTGGTTTGTCTGACAAGAAAGACAAATATGTTTCACCTGAATCCTCGTTTGTCTCTGTTAACTTGTTCTGCTTCGCTGATGAATCTTTTGTTCCTTGCAGCTCAAGTAGCTTCTCTTTAGAAATCATTGCACGAGATGATGTGGGAGCTGTCATGTGTTAGAATAACCTCTTCAGTATTTTCTCATGTCCTCGGCAATTTTTTAAGTATTTTGGTAACTTACACTTGAAGAAACTTAAAGCTAGAGTGAAAATGATGTTGAAGATAATGGTCTGACCCAGCAAGGCACCTAATGAGACCCAATACATGTAATCATCATAGTTCAGTCCTCTGCTTTCTAGTATTGTTCTCCCTAATGTAACATTTGTAGGTTGCATCTGCAAACATAACCAGAATACTAATTAGTCTTTAGAGGATGAAGATGGGGTAAGTAGGGGAAAAAGAGACTCACTTGCTGCCATCTTGGAGCAAGAAACTCATTTACAGAGAGTCCAATCTCAGCATAGCTTATAGGATTCACCCAAAAGCCCCACTTCAACCACCCTGGCATATCAGCTGCACCAAAACCATTGTCATGTTTCAAACTTTGGAACAAAGAATTGTAATGAAAAAGAGTGAAAAAGTCTTACTGTATGGAATGGCAAAACCAGCAAAGACAAAAGTGGCTAATATGGCAAAACTACCAGCTGCCATTGATGCAACTCCTGTCTGAAATATTGAAGCTATACACCGAAACATCGATATCGATGTGAAGTGAACAGCAAAGAGCATCATGAATTGCCGGAAGAACCTAAAAACATCAAAATTATCATTACTTTCCATAAGAAGCAAGTAAGAGATGGTTTTAGAAAGCTCTCACCTGGAGACTTCAGGAGTGTATCCAATGACATAATAAGTGAGGCAAGTCCAGACAAAAGATTCAAGGAATGAGAGAGGGACCTTCAACACTGTTGCTGGAATTGCATAAGCCCAAGCTGGATAGAAACAGAGTTGTTTTTGCTTGTAAAACACGGCAAGGCGTTGAACAGTCATAGAGATCTCTGGAATACCATCAATCATAAGTACAACGGTTCCAAAAAACAGACAACTCATGTAAGAGTTTCCATGAACAATGTCTATTCCCATTCTTGTTCGTATAAACACAGTCATAGTGATGATTGCAGACAGAACAAGCTGCAGAAAAAGAAGGGTTCTTCAGAATTAAAGACATAAGGAGAGATATGTCTTAATTAGAAAGAAGAATGTAATTAACCTGAAACGTCTTGAAGAGATAGACGAAGTAGTTTCTCTTCATGAGAAGAAACTCTCTTGAGATGCATGCTCTAAACAGCTCCCATTTTGGAAGTGAATACGCATTGGAGTAAAGAGCATCCTTGTGTGGTTTTGATTTATCATATGGCTTAGACAAAGCTTCCTCAAGCTTTCTCCCAATCTCTAAGTCTTTGAATCTCTTTGAGAATGTATCTACTGAGACAAACCTATAAGGTAAGTCCTTGTGAATCCAGTACTGTCTTTGGTCCTTTTTAGATATAACCTGCAAGGACATTGTCAGTGTCAGTGACCATGGGACTAAAAGGTCAGTGTCAGAGACATAATTTTGGCTTTCTTACCTCTTGTAGAAAGTCTGCAACACCTTTCCTTTCTGGGCATCTAAATCCACATTCCTCAAAAAAGTTTAAGACCTTTTCACGTGGACCGTGATATACTATTTTTCCTTGAGCCATAAGCACAATATCATCAAAGAGGTTGTAAGATTCAGGAGCAGGTTGAAGAAGGGAAACAAGCACTGTTGCGTCTGTAATGTGAGCTAGTTGCTGAAGAGAGTTGACTATCTGAAACGCAGTGGAACTGTCTAAGCCGTTTGTAATCTCATCCATGAAGAGAGCTTTTGTTGGACCAACGATCATCTCAGCTGTAATAGTAAATCATCAGAAAACATGCCATGGCAATTTTGAAGGATTTATTATGAACCAAACCTGTGGTGAGACGCTTCTTTTGACCCCCGGATATGCCTCTTTTCATCGCATTCCCAACCAATGTTTCTGCACAAATGTCAAGCCCTAGGACCTGAAAATGCAATACAAGACTTGATAAAGAAACTAATCAAGAACTAAAAAAATGAAGAGTGTTCAGAGAAGCTACCTTCAAGATGTAATCTGTTTGCAGACTTGTTTTAAGTCCTTTAACCGATATTGCCTGGCATCACAAAAGAAAGGTTTATAGTAAAACATCTTAAGTTAAATGATTAAGTTCCAGCATGTAGCTTGAGGAGTGGACCTTCATGTAAGCATCTACTTGAGGGTCAGGAATGATTCCACCATCTTTTTCTCTTTTACTGACCTCCATCATAATATCTGTTTCAGCAGAGGCAGAGAGAGATAAGTTATGTTTGTCAGAAAAAAAAAGACTGTTACTCTCTATGAAGACATATATATACCTGTTCGGCCACCGACACCTTGACAACGAGCTGAAAAGTCTATTGTCTCCCTCACTGTCATCTCTGCAATGTGCAAATCTTGTTGACTTATGTACGCTGATGTCTTTTGAGGAACAAACTCGTCAAGTCCTTGTCCATTGTAGGAAATTTCACCAGAACGCTATGTGGAAGATTATCAATACAAATATGCTGCCAAAAAGCATACAACAAAAGGGACTTGATGAGAAACAGAATTTAAAAACCTTTAGATTCTTGTCCAAGTTTCCAGACAAGGCCTTGAGCAGAGTAGTCTTCCCACAACCAGGAGGACCAAGCAGCAGAGTTAACCTTCCCGGGTTAATGATGCCGTTAACATCGTTAAGTATGCTTATCTTAGCTTCACGTGTTATTACACCACCCAGCTTCACCACACCCTGTAAGAGAAGAAGAAGAAGAAGAGTATAAAATTGTCAAAACTACCTTAAGTTGCAATTAATATGCATTGAGTATATTAATACTAACCAAAAAAACACGCTTCAAGGTGTTCCATAAAGTAGGAAGCGCCTTCCCTTCAACGACCTCGCACTCTGCTTCAACACATAGATGCTCATACCTCACCTCTATCCTTGGAAACTCCACACCAACCCTGCAAAGTAACAGTTCAGTTACGTTCAAAGATTCACAAGGTTAATTTGTTTCCTTTTATCTCATACCTCCCTCACCTGTCTATTCTTTTTCTAATCTTCTTGAGCAGCTTAAGATTATCATTCTCAATGTGTTTGATCAGCTTCTCAATCATCAGATGACGTTCCATGGCTCCAAGCTTGGTGACATCAGCCACCCTTTTCCCTTTCTCCACACCTTCGCCTTCTTCATCGACCAAAGATGATCTCAGCCGTTTGAAAGTGGGTAATCTCTGGATCTCAGCCCATTGAAGAGCATGCTCTGCCTCATCCTCACACTCATGATTACTTGAAGAAGAGCTGCTCCTTAAACTAGTTCCCATCTCTGAAAGCTCCATTCTTAACTCTTCTCCACCCATGCCTCGGTGAGAGTTAAGAGATGAGCTCAATTATGAGAGATGTGGCATTATTTATCGTCTACTTCTCTTATGTAACGTCTAATAATGATAAATATTAAAATGTGCTTTTCACATTTACAAAATAGTTAGGTGATGAGTGGTAGAGTTTATACATCATGATCTTACTAAAAGTAATTGTTACGTACAGACTATCTAAAACTCTTCACATCATTATGTTGTTCTCTTTTAGGTTATTTTCGTCGTTTATTCCATTATGTTTATGTTTATAATCCTCAAACAGCTCCAACTGTCGGAAACAACTTTATTAAAAAAGATAATAGTAATTAAATTTCTTAAAAGAAAATAGAATAGCGATACAACTAGTATCCTTTAATAAATATTATAAAATTTAATATATATAAAAAGCTAGACTACACGAATAAAGTGGGAAGAATTTTTGTTTGGTCAACAAATGGGAAAGATTATAACTTGTAGGATTATTACTTAAACTTTTTGAAAAAACAATAGTAATTTGAATGATCACTTTGTTGAAAAAGTGATCACTTTATTTTTGTGTAGTTTTCCATATTCTATATATATATATATAATATATATTAATCTACTCATGTTGCAAAGCCAAATAAAAACCTTCCGACCAAATACATACGAACATCAATCAAGAAGGGGGAAGTGATGGATGAATATGTTGTGGTTAATGTTCTAATTGATAAACTGTTGTTGAGTATATAATTCGTGTAATATTTTTGAGTTATGGTTGACGTCGTGATGATCTCTGATACATGTTTTATGATATTCTCGAATCGTGACCTGACTCATCAGGTGGTATGGCTAATGTTTATAACAGTTTTAGCAAAGATTGTAAAAAAAAAAAAAAAAAACACAAGTTTTATTATATGTTCATGTGGATTAGTGCAAGATGTGGCTATTGCATCAAACTAAAGGTACATGATGAATTTTCCTCCTACATCTTTCTTTTGATCATTTTCTAGTTTCATCTGCCTTTGTTGACATGATCTGAGCAAGAAAAAAAAAACGTCTTAGCACAATAGTCTTTGGTAGCAGTATTCTATCGCGTGGGACCACGGATGTTATCAAAAGTCTTAAAATGTAAAAAGAACTTGTATGATGTTAACGTGTTTCGTAAACCTTAGTATGATGTTTCGCTTCTCGATAATACGCTCCTTGTATTAATTTAAGTTACCAAAACGCACGTCATAGTTTACAACCATCAAACACATTAGCTAACGGGCCCAATTAATGCGTTGCTTTGTCGGTAGTAATATAGAAATAGTTAGTATGATGATTCTGTGTGACAAATGTGTGATGATTGCTTTCAAAGAAAATGCTCGCTTTTTATGAATGATATACGTAAGAACGAGGTTGGTGTGTATCTGAGCAAGTTGAGAACTTATTCAACGCAAAGTATGATGATCGATATTCGATAGATATCTCACACACAAGAGATAAAAACGTGCACGAAAAGTCGAAAACAGCTCTTTCACTAATAATGACTATAAACCTAATTAACTTACTCGGTTTAATTTCCTAACCCAATAAAATACAGTTGATCAAAAATTAAATATCTTATCATAAAGTAGTAACTCTTCATTATTGTATTTATTTTACAATTAGTAAATTCTCATATCTTTTTTTAAACTAATTATAGTTACTACATATTTCATATATATAATATTGTATAAATGTAGTTTGTGAAATAGCGCGCAACAATGATCAAAAGTAAATACAATTTGATAGGTCGCAAATTACTGAGAATGTTTCTATGAATCTAAAAGAATTAAGTTGTGGTTGCAGGATCATTCACTATAAGTGTTCTCCTAAAATATGATTTTAATCATTTTTATCATTTGTAGACGCCTAAAAACTCGAATTTTATGACTTTCTGAGGATTAACAAAGATTTGTATATGAAATATCTTCCAAAAAAAGTAGGCCAAAATTTTCAAACTCGTACCTGTTTTATGGCAGAACGTCTTGGACCGTTGACTGTAAATAGTTTTAAGTGGGTCTGATTGACTATTGTCTTTACTTACCCTATTGACTCTAAATAGAAGTTAGGCAAAAAACTAATAAAAGTAAAACAAAACCCATTTACAAATGGCCTGAAAAGCCTATTAATAAATAAGGCCCAATAAAACCAAATACTCTTAAGTAGCATAGAAAATTAGGGTTTCGATTTCTTCATTTGAGAGCTACCTTCTTCAATCTGCGGCTAGCTAGCAACACACTTCTCTTCTCCACACGACGCTTAAGACCTTGAGGTATACACTTCCTTCTCGATTCTCTCTTCTCCCTTACATGTGCTAATCCTCTGTTTCTCTTCCCAGCCATGGCCGCCGCCGTAGAAATCGACGCTGAGATTCAGCAGCAGCTTACCAACGAGGTCAAGCTCTTCAACCGTTGGAGCTTCGACGACGTTTCGGTAATCTCCTCATCAATTACTAATTTTACTATTTGAAACGATTAATAAGAGTGTGTGTGTGACTCGTGTCTTTTAATTTTGTCTTCAACTCTTTAGTATCTACTTTGTGTTCCACCGGTTCTGCTCATTTGCAATCTAGTCCTTTGTTTTTTCTCAAATTTACTTATTGGTCTAATATTATACAATAGTTACATTAGCTCCACTGTGNCTCATCAATTACTAATTTTACTATTTGAAACGATTAATAAGAGTGTGTGTGTGACTCGTGTCTTTTAATTTTGTCTTCAACTCTTTAGTATCTACTTTGTGTTCCACCGGTTCTGCTCATTTGCAATCTAGTCCTTTGTTTTTTCTCAAATTTACTTATTGGTCTAATATTATACAATAGTTACATTAGCTCCACTGTGGGAATTTACATGCAAATCCTGAAGATGGATAATGTATTAGTCTGCCCGGTTTGTTTAAAAGTGTTACCTTTATCGTTATTTATTGTCTCAATAAATGTAGTCGATCCTGATGCTGTCTTTTTTTGTATATAACATCTCTTAGTGTTTATAATGCTTAAGGTAACATTTGTTTTTGTGTATTTTGTGTATGTAGGTCACAGACATTAGTCTTGTTGACTACATTGGTGTTCAGCCTGCCAAGCACGCCACCTTTGTTCCCCACACTGCTGGAAGATACTCTGTCAAGAGGTTCAGGAAGGCTCAGTGCCCTATTGTCGAGAGGCTCACTAACTCTCTCATGATGCACGGGAGAAACAACGGTAAGAAGTTGATGGCTGTCAGGATCATCAAGCACGCCATGGAGATTATCCACCTCTTGACTGATGCCAACCCTATTCAGGTCATCATTGATGCCATTGTTAACAGGTAAGAAGAAGTCAACATGTACTTTTTTTGCGTGCTTGCTACTATGAATCATATTCTGATTATGTTTGTTTATGGGTGAGTCAGTGGTCCACGTGAAGATGCGACCAGGATTGGATCTGCTGGTGTGGTTAGGAGACAGGCCGTTGATATCTCTCCTCTGAGACGTGTGAACCAAGCTATCTTCTTGCTCACCACTGGTGCACGTGAAGCTGCCTTCAGAAACATCAAGACAATTGCTGAGTGCCTTGCTGATGAACTCATCAATGCTGCTAAAGGATCTTCCAACAGGTAATTAATAAAAAACTCTATACATTGTCTTGTATCTTCACATTAGTGTTAGTTGGTAGCTAATAATAGCATCTCTTTGCAGCTATGCCATCAAGAAGAAAGATGAGATTGAGAGAGTTGCCAAGGCCAACCGTTAAGGGATCTTTCTTATCTCAAAAAAGCTTTGTGTTGTTTTCTGTAGTTTTGGGTATGTTTCAAGAAGATTTTCTTTTAATGAAGTTTTGACGCTTTAATAGACCTTGAGGATCTTAATCAAACAGTTTCATATTTAATAATCTTTTCATCTATATATTATTAATCTAAAGTTAGTTGATTACAATAACGAAATGGCTTTTGTGATTGTTGATAACAAAAGAAAGCTATGGCATTAGGTTGTTTGCAACATCCCAAAGAAACCTCCAATGAAAATAAATTCAGAATGGTAACAAGAAGAAATGATTAATTAGGTTAACTGGCTATGTAAGATTGGAGAAGCAACAATGGGATCATCAAATGGCTTGATTAGAATGTTGTGAGGAGTTGAAAGGAAGTGGTGTAGACGAAGTTGGTGGTCTCAGTTGCAACTGTGATGATTGTGTTTACCTTCGTAGGTTGTAATAAAAGCCCTTGGATCATCCCTCGCTCTCTCCACGCGTTTCCTTGCTCTACAATTCACACTCGTGCACCTGTAATAACTTCTCGGATACGCATTGCCACCAACCACTTTCTGTCCGTACTTTCTCCACTTGAATCCATCATCTTGACTCTCTGATTCCCCTGAGCTTTGCGTTACTCCCACTTCACTATATTGCTTCTCGTCCTTCCTGCTATTTATCAACAAACTCAATGTTAACTTTAGGTGGTGTATGAAAACAATCCAAAAAACCCTAATAATCTATCTTTTACAACCTTCTCTTGCTTCTGCTTGGATCATCAAGCTCTACTTCATCACACTGGCTACTTCTGCAAGATCCACCAAGAAAAGCAAACTCGAATGGTGTTATAACACAACCTTCATTCATCTTCTCTGTTAAGCTTTTAGATGATTCATTCCATTGACTACTCCAGAGCGGTTGACAATAGACATTATTAGGTTCTTGCCCTATTGATCCTTCTTCAGATGGTTTCTGAAACCCTGAAGAGGATGAAAATGAAGCCCGCCGTGGTCGTGGAAGAGGACACGAGGGTTTAAAGTGATTATGCTCACCTTGATACACAATCTCTGAAACCTGACCTCCCATTGATCTCTCTACTCTCTTCTTAACAGGACATTTAGGGTGTGTGCATTTGTAGTAACCCCTTGGACAGTCACTTCCTTTGACTTGCTTCTGTCCGTATTTCCTCCAGTTGTATCCGTCCACCGAAGATCTGTCCCCAGTCGATGTCTCTGATTCCGTGAAGGTTGGAACTCTCGGGATTAGGTTAGGACCGGGTCGATGTGTAACTTCACTCACACGCTTCCCATTTGCTACTGCTTTGCTTTGTCTCCAAGTCTGTTGACCATTTCCATTAAACTAACAAAAGAAAAAGAGAGTTAAGAGAAGAGTTTCGTGAACACTATCGTGATCTTGTTAGCTTTGAGAAAGCAACTTACCATATTAGCCAATGCAGAGATAGTTGCTTGGGAAACAAGCGTCGCTTTAGGTTTATAAACAACATAGTTTCTGTTCTCTAAACCATCACAAGACTTTACATTTCCATTTTCTTCCACCTGAGATTATCAGTGTCAATAATGCAACGGAGAAGATTAAGAAAGAAGATAACTAGACTGGTTAGATGAATCACCCGTGGAGATGAGACAGAAGCTGCAGCTGGCTCAGTCTTTGGTATTATAGAAACGTCTACAGTCTCGTGACAATTCGATTGGGGAGAGAGGGTAACTGAATCAGCCAAAAGCTCAGAGAATGTCCTGACCCTAGAGCATGAAGGAGGCCTTGAAGCCACTGGTTTTGCTATTACCTCCATTATTCCCCTAAAAAAAGAGTAATCAACCTGAAAGAAACCTCCACGGATTTAAAAATAATAATTATTATTATTATTCAACATCAATTCTTGATCTTATATAAAGCTTGGAAAGTGGATGCAAAAAAAGAGACCCATGTGACATAAACTTGTGATAAGACAAAAGAGAGACAAAAGAAGATGGTAAAGTAGTATTCACGGCGAGAGAGTTTAAAGCAAAACCTGAACTTCTGAAAAGGATTTTAAGGAAAGAAACCCTTTTCTAATGAGTTAGGAAGATCCGAGGATAATCCGCGCGTTGATGTATACGTTGTATCAGTTCAGTTTGTTGAGACTCTCTGATACTAAAAGGGACACGTGTCAAGGTAGGGTACGTTGGATGGATCAAGGTCTGATAGTTTAGATGAGGTTTGTGTACAGTGATGAAGAAGGCGATGAAAAGGAAAGAGAGAAAGAGAGAGGAGACTAATAGTTTTCGTTGAACGTTAGTTGAGTTTAGTAGACGCCCTTTGAATGGTAGTTGGAAAAACGCGGCCAACGGTACGACGTCGTTTTCTGTTGCTGATTTTTAAAACGCGCTAGCCAGCGACATAAAGGGGACTAGTTTGGTTGTTGGCGCGCGCATGAGCTTGCTTTGTTCGAGAACTGAACCATACCAAACTTAATTTTAGTGGAGAAATGTGAGCTTAACCGTACCGAAAATTAAAACCGGTTAGTCTCGATTTCACCTCTCTCAAAAAATTCACTGTCACGTTGGTCTTTTCACAATATTATTGTCTACTTAATGTGGACTATATGGAACATTAGCAACTCAAACAATACAAAATATTAAAAATTATCGACTATCAGTTGGGAGCACACATTTATCATCAAAGTTAGCAGTGGTTAGTTTGCAACAACTATTAGTGTTAGATATTATTAACGGTCCAGCAAACAGTTTGTTAGGTCAAGAGTTGTTGTTAAACCCAAAGTTAGTTAAGCCTTAATCAATGTTCATAAATACACTTGTGCACGGTTACAGTTTTAGCGAAGAATAATATTTTGCTATTCTTTAATATCTTTGCATCTTATGAACACCAACTTTAATTTATGTCGATATGATTACTACGCTCATGACAAAGTTCTACAGTATTAGAGTTTAGACTGGTTGCTAACTCAGAATATTCTGATCAATAGAAAGAGCATCTTACTCCTTTTGATAGATTTCACAGACACACCGAGATAATACTACTAAGTACTAAGTCACACAATAAAAGAGACACTAGGGATTGAGTTTCTGAATTCATGCTATGTGAGAGACTTCTCTAAAGGAGTAAGATTGTTATTGTCATTCAAATTGCGTTACGCTGTGTCCGTCTCAGCTTTTCAATCGAGTCTGTTCCCACCATCTATAACAAGAATTTGATTGTCAGGCCCTTACAATATTATTGAACCAATCAGAATTCAAACGAATACTAGTGATAAAACCTGAAAATCCTAATAATCTCAAATTTTGATTTAAAAATCTGAATTAATATCTACAAATTTACTACCTATTTTTATGTTTATTTTGATATATAATATTTAAAATAAAACTAAAATGTTATTAATTGGATCCAAATTCAAAATTTTAGTCAAACCCGACCCGAACACAGTATAAATCCGATATAAACCCGAATGGGTGTAATAAGCTGACGTGGCCTTTACTCTCTCTTTCAATTCATGCTTACATCATCTGCCACGTGTAATAACAAACTCCACGAGATTAACCAACGGTATGAGTTAAAAAACAAGGATTCTTTCATCTTTCCCGGAGCCACCACCAACAATGGCGGTTTCTCTCTCTTCGTCCTCGACGTTCACTCCCTTAACGCTGCAGCAAAAGCTGAAACCGACTCATGGCTTTGGGAGATTAAACTTCGCTTATTCGGTGAATTCTCACGGTGTCTCTCTCCGGCGTAGCGCCGTGGTCGTGTCGGCCATTACCGGCGCCTCAGGTGGGATTAAACACCTTCTCTTCTGTTCTGTTCTGTAGAAAGTGAGATTCCAGATGTCTGACAAGATTGTATCGATTCTCCGACAGGAACTGAAACTGCTGGTTTGCTAGAGACAGTGAAAGTCTCGGACTTGAGAGGAAATGAGATTCCGATTTCTGATTTATGGAAGGATAGGAAAGCCGTTGTTGCATTTGCTCGTCATTTCGGGTGATTAATATCTTTTTAAAACAACTTTTTAATTAGATTTTATGAGTCTGGTTACTATGTGTAAGAAGTATGAAAAAGCTTTGTCATGTTTTCAGATGCGTGCTTTGTCGGAAACGAGCAGCTTATCTTGCTGAAAAGAAGGTAATGATTGTCAAAAAAATCTTGATGATGGTTCGGTCATTTATACAACATGACTGAGATTTTTGTTTAGGATGTGATGGATGCATCTGGTGTTACTCTTGTTCTCATTGGACCTGGAAGTATCGATCAGGTAACGCTTACACACTTCTTGTAAGTAATTATTTAAGATGTTACAGATTGTCTCATGATATATATATAACTCATCTATGCAGGCCAAAACTTTTGTGGAACAGACGAAATTTGAAGGAGGTATACTTGCTCAGTTCCTTGTTCTTCTTTGAAATCATTCTAATCTATAAACAAGTTTTCTCTCTCTATCTCAGAGGTGTATGCAGATCCAAATCATGCGTCATACGAGGCGCTTAAATTTGCTTCAGGGGTTTCTGTGACATTTACCCCCAAAGTAGAGTGACTTCTCTCTCTCCTTAACAAATCAGGTTACCAAAACGTTACATGTCTTTGTGGTCTCAGTGACTTTGTGTGGTATCATTGTTGTTATATAGGCTGCTCTGAAGATAATAGAGTCTTACATGGAAGGATACCGCCAAGACTGGAAACTCTCTTTTATGAAAGATACTGTTGAAAGAGGCGGCTGGTAAGTTAGTTATAAAAAGAGTGTCTGAATATTTTCTTGTATCCTTATTAAACATTGTCACTTCGTGTAGGCAACAAGGTGGAATCCTAGTTGCTGGCCCTGGGAAAAATAACATCTCTTACATCCGCAAGGTAATCTTCTTCTATTTCTGCAAATACTTTAATCAATGAACACTCATCTTTGTGTTTACACTCATGTGATCAACAAAGAGGTAATAATGTTGTATTCAACGATTTGTTTGGTGGGAACATTTCAGGACAAAGAAGCTGGAGATGACCCGCCTGTTGAAGAGATCCTAAAAGCGTGTTGCGCTTGAAGGAATCACAACTCACAAGCAAAACGTAAAAGACACTATTTTTTCTTAATAGTATTAGAGTCGATCTGACGATCTCTCCTCGTCTTCATACAGCTCGCATAAGAGACATAAATTTGATAAAACGTGTTCACTTGGTGTTTTAAAGACATAGACTTGCAGTGTATATATCTCTCCTTGTCGTTCAAGTTTTGGAGTTTTTTTCTGATAAAAAAACAATGTTGTCAAAAGTCAGTCAGGCAAACATTCTATGAAACGTTACTGCTAAAGTAACAAATACAACATTAGAACATAGACATGTTAAAAGATAAAGAGATACAATGATCAATTCCGAGTTACATACGAGACTCACAAGACACTACTGATAATATCCGCATTGATATGGTTTTCTGAGTTACGTAGGAGCTGGAAAAACTCTGAATGCGTACTATCGGTTATTTGTAAGATCATGTAGAAAGGAAGTGTAACGAAATGGAAGAGCTGCGATGAACTGATCAAGAGCTTAACCAGGAAGGTAACACGAACCAAGCTGATGTTCTTGCTAGAATGATCAAAAAAGGATAAGGAAGCAAGAACTGCCTATCTATAGAAAGAGGTGAATCTTTCTTAGTTCAACAAGTTCGATCTTATGTTGTTATCGAAATAAATCTTTTTTCCTCTAGACTTGTTTTGCATGGAAATGATCCAGCGAATTTCTGATTTAGTCTTTTTAACCACCGTCATTTTTTCCATGAAGTAGTTGAAAGGTAATTTTGATGAGGATTTTCACCTTTCTACTTCTTACTGAAGCAAGCAAGTTGATTGAATATCTGTGCTGGCACGTTCATTGGCTTGTAGTTAAAATATCTTATCTTCTCTACAGATTATTGCCTTGGCATGAGACGTGCCATCTCAACTGTCCATCCAATATTTCGACGGCTCAAATCTCATCTCACCCATCACTTCACTTTCACACTATGACAACTAGTTAGTAGAGACCGTCCAATGAAACGATAACCAAACAAAATCAATTAAAAGCATATAATCACAAAAATATTGGAAACGTAAGAAATAAACCAAATAAGAAAAGTATATAAAAATAAATTAACATCTTTTTAAAGTATTACTTTAAAGTAATGAAATAATAGGGTTTTCACATTATTTAATTGTTTGAATGATACTTTAAAGTAATGAAATAAGAGGGTTTTCACATTATTCATTGTGAAATATTATTTTTCCTATGTTGAGATTTGAGAAATTAAAATTTTTATTAACAAAGCTGGACCTAATTTAGCAGAAAAAAATAGTTTTAGGATAACATTGTAAATAAAAAACCATGTAAGATATTTTGTGCAAGCGCAGAAGAGTTAAATTTTTTGCCCATAAATATCAAACACTCTGCATCCGTCCCCTAAAGCCAAAACCTTATCTCATCACATTCACCATGGCAGCTTCAGCTTCGTCTCTCGCTCTCTCCACCTTCAACCCTAACTCCCTTCCTTTCTCCATCTCCAGACCCTCCTCCTCCCTCTTACCTCCTTCCGTCTCTTTCAAACTCAACTCCCTCTTCCCTTCCTCCTCCTCCGCTAAATGCAACTCTCGCTTCTTCCGTAACGTGGCCGTTACGGAAGACTTCTCTGTCGAAGAAGAAGACGGCAGTTTCGCTGATGACGTGGCTCCCCCTCCGCCACAGGAGCAGTCCTTCTCTGCTGACCTCAAACTCTTCGTCGGTAACCTTCCTTTTAACGTTGACAGTGCTCAGCTCGCTCAGCTGTTTGAGAGCGCAGGGAACGTTGAGATGGTTGAGGTAATAAAGAAAGAGTGTCTTATGTTGTTGTCGCCATGAGAATCCGACAAGAATTAAAAGATTGATACTTTGTGTTGTTTTATGTTGAAATTAATAGTTGATTTTTTTTACTTTGTTTGTGTCTTTGTAGGTGATCTATGACAAGGTGACAGGACGAAGCAGAGGTTTCGGGTTCGTGACTATGTCTTCTGTCTCTGAAGTTGAGGCAGCTGAACAGCAGTTCAATGGCTATGTAAGATTTCATATCTCTTTACCTTACTCTTAGCTTCTTTTGTTGGTATAAAACTATGATTTGTCTGATGAATATATCTGTATCCGTACTTGTTGGTATGTGTTTGTGTTTTTTCTTTTTGCATTTGTGTGGTCCTTAAGTGTATGCTTAGTGTGTTATGTTATATAATATGCTTAGAGATGTCAATTGGGCGGGCCGGACGGGTTTGGGCGTGTCCGAATGGGCTTCATTTTTTGCTGGACATATTTGGTCGAAGCCCAAATAGAACCATTGTCCAAATGAGACCATAACCAAATAAGACCATAATTTATTATGATTTATTGGGCTGTCCATGTGCCTATACGCCCACTTAATGTAAACATTATAATTTTCAGTTTTAAAGAGTAAAATTCACAAAGCTTCTTGTAAACTTCATCCTTAAATCACATTCTCAAATAAACAAAGACTTTTAAGTCACCATTCACAAACAAACAAAGACTTTTCACCATTCACAAACACAAGATTCATAAGCATAAGATAAAAACATGATTTTGTGGTTTTGACAAAAACACTTTATAGGAAAAATAATAATTGTAGATTGGGCGAAAAAATGCAATCTTACGATTTCGGTAGGACACACGATTTTATGATTTTGAAAAAATATATTGATTTAGTGATTTTAACAAGACAAAATAAAATTATAATTTTTTAGTTATTCCTTAAACCTAAATATTTTAGTTATTTGGGCGGCCCAACGTCCGGATGGTCAAACCCGGTTTTGTCCATGGTGCAATTGGGCTTCACCCATTTAAACCCATTTAAATTTGGTCTAATATGGGCATGTACATATTAGTCCATATCAATTTGGACACGGACCGTCCATGGACAACCCGCCCATTTGACATCTCTAAATATGCTAATACTAAGCTGTATGTTATGTCTTGGAAAGTAAAAATATTCTTAGATGAAAGAAAAATCTTCAAGTTTGTATGTTGAAACCTTTGTGTTTTTTTTTTTTTTTTTTTCTTGTATTGCAGGAGTTGGATGGTAGACAATTGAGAGTTAACGCTGGTCCTCCTCCACCAAAGAGGGAAGGTTCATTCTCCAGAGGACCTAGAAGCAGCTTTGGAGGTGGTGGTTCAGGAAACCGTGTTTACGTCGGTAATCTCTCATGGGGAGTTGATGACATGGCTCTCGAGAGTTTGTTCGGGGAGCAAGGAAAGGTTGTTGAGGCTAGAGTCATCTACGACAGGGACAGTGGTCGATCCAAGGGTTTTGGGTTTGTGACTTACAACTCTGCACAAGAGGTTCAAAATGCTATTCAAACCTTGAATGGTGCTGTAAGTATCTTTACCGTTCTTGGCTCTTGCTAGTATGTACACTTTACAATGTGGTAAAAATAAACAACTCTTGATATGTTTTTTTATAGGATTTGGATGGGAGACAAATTAGAGTCTCGGAAGCTGAGGCTAGGCCTCCAAGGCGCCAGTTTTGAGCACCCCAAAAACCTTTGGCTTCATATTCTCCAAAAAACGCATATTCTTAGAGGGTATTATGACTTAGCCATTGTACTTATAAGATTACATTAACGACTTCATGACTGACTTATCCAAGGATTGGATATGTAACAGGCGAAGCATATAGAGTTTTGTGAGAGAGGATGGCAATTTCGGACCGGTGCTAAGCTCTTCACCTATGTTTTGTTGTACCTTGGATGCACGAATGGTCTTTTATTTATTTATTTTGAGAAACATATAAGTAAGGATTGTAAGTTAAGACCATGTTCTGTCTGTCTGAAATGCTGCCATTAACTGCTTCGCTTTTGGTTTGATTCTTTTGTATCTCTAATCATAATGCTTCTCCATTTTATCAGTCTAGTTTATGTCTTTTTTTATCTTGTGCGCTTATGAATATGATGAACTACTCATTTGAAAATACCGCTGAAACAACTAAATCACTCAATCTAGATTCAACACATAGTAGCCTGGCAGGTAAACAATTCAATGATATGGGTTCTCGGAAAGCCCAAATTTTGAATGTTATGGAGTTGAGTTTTAAAAGCAGTTGGCCCAATTAATCAGCCCCCAAGTGGTCTTGCGCAAAATGTTAATTCAACTGCAACGCATTGGGCTGATTCTATCTGTTCCATGAAAGTTGGAAAACAAACTGTTTATTCAACCAAACTGTTCGTTTGTTGTT